AAGAAAAGAGAGACAAAAGATAATAAAAATTTTGGGACATTCAGAAGGGAGAATGAATGAATAAAGAGATTAAGAGACCAGTTAAAAGACTTGCAAAGGTTGCCAGAAAATGATACAGGCTTATGCTAAGCTAGAAAAAGTTCATTTCAGAAACAGAATTTTTAAAGAAGACAAATCAACAGAACCCAATGAATCTTACATTAATCCTTAAAACTCAGCTAATTATTAAAACCAAATACTGGGTATACATCCTTGAGAAACTGAGAGTATAGGCAGTCCTCAATATTGCTTCATTTGAAGCCCATCAATGTGGTCATTTGTACTACATTTATTGATGCTGCTGCCTCCCTGCCCTATGTCATGACACCTCTCAAATATCAGCTGATGAATGAACTTTTTCAGTTTTTTATTTTATGGTACAGCTGCCCATAAGCCAATAGTTCAATTTTTGCAGAATCACCATCCTTGTCATTACTCGGAGAATTATTCATTCACTTATTCAAATGTGATTGCCTATTTTCATTATTATAAAAAAGCGAATGGGAAATGGGAAAATTAAAAGCCTAATAGTAATTATGAGAAGTGTTTGTCTCATAAACTCAAGTAAGACAAAGGTAGAAGTTATTAGACATGCCCAAAATGGCAAATTTTTTCGTCTGAATCAGACAGTTACTGAACTTGAACTGTTGAAATGAGGAGAAAATATCCAAAATTATGGAAAGTTTAAAGAAAGAAAAACTAAAGTGAGGAGTATACACTAAATGCTGTGTCTAAACAGCAAGGTATAATTAGAGATTTCATAATATATTTAGCTCTCTAGGGCCAGAATCCCTTAAAACATGTAGAATTTTATATAATCTTCAGACCTATTTTCAGGAATGTGTCCTTTCAGGAAAGAAGGAAAAACAGTATTGATATTGAACCAGTTACCATGTTCTGATCACATACAAAAACAGAGGCAGAAGCGTTTTCTAAACGGAAAAGCACAGGGCAAAGTCCGTTATTTTTGTTGGCATTGGCACTGCCATTCCAGTGCTCTGACACTGTCATTCCAAAAACCAAACCAAAACTATCCTAAAGGATAAGTTCAGCTCTTCATCATATTGCCTGCAAAAATGTTCAACATGTAACATTAATTCAGTGGCATTTGGTGTTTCATAAGTTCTCTTAGGATATTCTATCTTGTCCTTTTTCCACTCCAACTTATTTATTATTATTATTTGAGACAGAGTCTCTCTCTGTCACCCGTCGCCCAGGCTGGAGTGCAGCAGCACAATCTGAGCTCACTGCAACCTCTGCCTTCTGGGTTCAAGCGATTCTTGTGCCTCAGCCTCCCAAGCAATTGGGATTACAGGCCTGTGTTACCACTGCCAACTAATTTTTATATTTTTAGTAGAGACAGGGTTTCGCCATGTTGGCCAGGCTGGTCTAGGACTCCTGGCCTCAAGTGATTCACCCACCTCAGCCTCCCAAAGTGGTGGCGTTACTGGTGTTGAGCCACCGTGCCCAGCCCCACTCGAACTTATTAACTTCCTAGCCTACGTCTAGCCAAATTGGAAATTCCCAACTGGCTTTTCCATACCTTCCATATGTACACAATATTGTCCCAACCACTTTGTGTGCTAAGAAAATGTTGACTATCATTCATCCATTTACTTTTCTCCAACATTCTTTAGGCATTTATTACATAACTATTATGGGCCAGCCACTTGTATGATAAGGAATGATGAACTCACCAGTCTGTTCGAGACAGACATTCAGATAATAAACATGGTTTATTATCTGCATCTATACAAAATAATATAGCATCTATACAATGTGATAGATGCTATATTAAAGCTATCCACAAGAATGGGAACTCACATGAGATATCACTAAGTTTATGAGAGAATTGGGAAAAGCTTCAGAAGGAAAGTCTTCTAAAAGAATTTGAATAGTGTCTTAAAAGATGAATGGGTGGTAAGTCATTGGTTAGACAGGAAAGAGGGTCAAAGGCATTTTCGAACAGCATATGCAGCTGGGTCATGGAAGGGTGAAAGTGCACAAGATATTCTTGAGACAGTAACAAGATCAAGAGCAATGGGCTGGGGACCAGAGAAGCAGAAAATAACCCTGAGAAATGCTGCAAAGGTAGTCTTGTGTATCATGGCAAGGAGGTGAGATTTTATGTTATAAGCCAGTGTTTCTCCAAATGTGATCTGAGGTCATCTCTACCAGATTCACTTGAGGATCTTCTCAAAATGCAGATTATTGGACCTTACATCTGGGGTAAAGCCCTGGAATCTGTATTTTTTACATGCACCCAGGTAACACTGATGTTCACCATCCAGAGAGCTGCCAAAGATTTTTGAACAAGGGAGTAACATGATCAGATTTGCATTTTAGAAATATGCTATTAGACCAAGCAGACAATCACAAAGAAGGTAAAATTCACTATTGGTAAATGAGCATGTGACTTTGCTTTGCATTAGAATCACCCGGGGAACTTGTAAAAATGCAGACTTCACAACTCACAAAGACTTACTACATCAATTCAAGGCAGAAGGAGCTAGGGTTTATATTAGTTTGAACCATACAAAATTGCCATTTATGTAGGTCAAATATTAGCAATTTCTCATAGTTTACATTAACATGTTAACAAGTCTTCCCACTCCATGCTTCTGGTATGAACCAAAGTCTGAGAATAGTTACTGAAACACAGACAGAGCTAAACGCTTTTCCCTTTTTATTAATTATCAATGTCATTACTCACTTTAATATGCAAAGATGGAAGTAACATAATTTATGTACCTAAAATAAATGTTAAAAGAGAAAAGGAGGGGTTCAGAAACAGCCACCAATGAAGTAAGGCAGCTAATTTAAGGATTTTAGAGCCAGAAGGAACACTGGAGATTATTCCACTCTTTCCCCACCTCTCAACACAAGTTTATACATAATAAAAGTGATGCCTAAGTGGAGAAAAGCAATCTGCTTGAGGTTATAGGGAATATTTTGTTCAGTTTCGCAATGACATGTGCTTTTCATGTGTTCTTACGTGCATTTTAATGGGTATGAAAATTGTGCAGCTAAAAATACTTAGGATTTAACCTATAGAGTGCTAGGTCACACACTTGAAACCGGAGGAGGCACATGAAGCCAATACTCATGCTTAGCCACTTTTAAAATATAAAACCTAAAACAGTGCTTGACATGTAATAGTAAGTATTTAATAAATACTTACTGGGCAAATGAGTGACCTCTAAAAAATAGGTTAAAGAAAGTATATTAATGCAAAGGATTTCCAAGGAAGTATACAGGTAGTGAACTAAGTGTAGATTTCCCACCTCCTCACCTGTTCCAAGTAGTCTTCGGTGCTCATTCATGACCCACCACCCTATAAATCCCAGATCTACACCTTTATTTTTCCTACTGAAAGTGCCACAACAAAAAAAATAATACCAAGATCATGCCTGAGCTAAGTTTGACAATAGGTGGTAGTGAAGCTTACAGATGAGCACAGCCTTCAAAGTCCATCCCAATAGGAATAATAGCTAACACTTACTGACAGCTAATAGAAGCTATACTTGAGGGATTCAATGATAGTTAACGCTAGCTATACAATAACAATAGCTAATTTGTGCATAGTATGTGTCAGGCTTGTTAGCCCTTCACATCCATTCACTTATTTAATCCCTTTAACAATCCTCTGATGTAGGTGCTATTATTATCATTTTGATCTTATATATGTGGATAAACAGGTCAAGTAACTTGTCCAAAAATCATGCAACTGGAAAGTGGCAGAGCTGAGAGCTGAATCCAGACTGCCTGGTGCCTAGAGTTTACCAACTGAACCCTTTGACCTCTCAGCGGTAAAATTGAAAGTTCCCTGCAAGCTGACCTGTTGGAGCACTCATGTCAGGAAGACGACATTTCTGGATAATTTAATTTGGCCCCAGTCTTTTCATCCATAAGAAAGGAAACATTTTTATTTGGGAAGCCTATACACACAGTGAGACCCAGGATATAAAGGAGTAAGGCAAGAAGAACCAAGAAGAAATGTCATTCTCTTCTGCCTTGGCACAGCATGGTTGTCACTGCCTAAGAACAATGATAATGGCTAATTTTGGCTAATAAAATCTCAAACTTTGACTTTTCCCTAAAGAATGTGGAGGCTTGCATGAGGATATGTTTCTCAAGAAGCAGCAAAGATACCGCTGTCATTCATTTATTCAGCGCTGTCACTAAGAAAAATACTTCCAGAAAGAAAAATAAGGACAAAACACTTCCCTAAACTAGGCGTAAAAGTCCTCTAACAAAGGAATTTAAAAGAAAAAGATCAACACCGGATTTATCTTTCTTAAGTAACTATCACTTGAAAAACCGTCCCTTCCAGCACTCCCTAAGGAGCCAAACATACTGACAAGGCCCCTTTGGGCTAAGACTGCGAGCTCCCACCCCTACTGATCGCTGAGAACTCAGGAAGGGGAAGCATCCCTCCAACCTGGAGGTTATCTGCACAAGCTGAATACCAAGGACTGGAGAAAGAGAAGTTTAGAAAACAGTGACTGTCCCAGAGGGGAAGTTCAACTGACCTAGAAGAAAGGGCCCAGCTGAAACTGCTTTTCAAACTCAGTCCGATTTTCCCCAAATCTCCCTACATCCAGCTGTATCGCCAGGCAAAATGAAACAAACAGAGGCAAGGCAATACAAGGGCAGGAATTATGCAAAATAAAATGCGTAATGAGGATGTCTCTCCATCAAAAATACTCCAAGATTTTCCTACACAATCCCATGTAACAAAACCAAATGCAAACAGCAATAAACCCTTGAGAAGCACATAAACAACGCAGACTGAGTCCATCTCGCCCCAACTCACGCAGCACCTCGGCATCCAGGCTAAAGAAGATGTGCCCCCCGCCCAGGAGAAGACTTCCGGCGTCCGGCCAAGGTCCAGCAGCCGCCAAAGTTAACTTTGTCCAACTCTTACCCAGGTCCAGAGATCTTGAGAATCGCAACGCAACCTTTTCTCCCCGGTCTTCACCCAAAGCCAGCCAAGATACAAAATCTATTCCAAACAGCGCCGTTAGCGTCCAAGCAGCGTACCAGAAGAAAGCGATCTTTACAGTCTTCCTTCGGGCGCAAAGGTGGAGACTCGGGAAAGAGGAAAGTCTCAGCGCGTTCCCAAACCCCCAGTTTTGCGCACCGGGAAAGTACTTGCTGCAAACTTGAACAAGGTTTTCTCTGTCTGGCCTGAGATGCTGGAGGAGGAGGGGGGGTAACCCGAGCCGGGGCCGGGATTCGAGCAGTTGCCTCTGTTGCAGCTGCTACTGCCGGGGCAGTGGCCGCTGGGGGGTTGTCGCTTGGCGCCGCGCGCAGTCCCTAGCGCAACTCACAGGATCTTCCTGGCCCGACTCAGCCACCTCGATAGTGAGTCGCCCCTGTCTGAGCGGCTGCCACTGCCTGGGGGGGTGACCCCGCCAAAGGCCTAGTCGGGAAGTTAGCAAATGTTGGGGTCACCTCAGGGAGTGACCGAAGAGGTGGCAGAGTGGGTGTCCGCCTGAGTCCCAACCCACGATGGGTGCGAGTTCCTCGTCAGAGTCCCTGAGAGGTGTTCTAGACCCTCTGTAAAGATTTGTGGGACCGGGGCCGGGGCCCGAGCGGCCAACTGGAGTGGACGGCGCGTCCTCAGTGGTGTCAGGGGAGAAAGCGCAAAGGTGAGCGCCGGAAAGGATGGTGATTAAGCCGTGCCAGAGAGTGCGATGCGGCAGCAAAGTGCCTAGGAAGATGGGGCGAGGAGGTGAGGGCAGCGGGTGGAGGGTGGGACAGTCTGCTTTACCAGGGCGGAGCCGAGAGAGAACTCCCGGGACGCGCAGGAAAATCCCCACCGGTCCTCGGAGGCCTTGCGCAGCGATTTATTGGGGAATAGCTCCCTCTGCTGACCAGGCGAGGAGGCCCCAGGAGGCCCAGTGATGGAATGTTAAAACCATGAACAGGCGCTTCCATTTGTGGGTTGGACGGGAATTCTGAAATCTGCTTCTATGACTGTCCATCTTCCTCTTCCACACTAAAGAGTTTTCCAGCTTTTACAGGACCCCCCAAAATACAAACCTGATTGCTGCAAAGTTCTTTCTTATGTCGTTGAATTCTATCCCGCCTCTCCCCCACAAAACAAAAACAAAAACAGGCTTGTGCCCCATAACCACGCCAGATAATAGTCTCCTATGAGACTTCTCTTCCTCCCATTAATAAGAACTCTTGCTTTTTAGAGGGACTTCAACAGCATTCTCGTCCCTAGTCAATAACAACTCCTGGAAAATAGTATAGACTCCATATTATGCTCGAGTGGATAAAGGAATGGAATGAATGAACACAGATCTGTTTGAAGTCCCGCACCATCCTCTTTACTCTCCCTGGCAGTACACAGGAGAAGACTGTTTTGGTGTTGTTCGTTTGGTTCTTAACCAGTCATCATTGCCCCTTCTCTGGTACCAGTACCTCCATTTTTCTTAGAGGCACCACCCCTGCCACAAGGATGGCAGTCTGGGTGGGAAGGTCAGTCAGGATGGTCCAACTTTTCCCTGTCCAGAAGAGAGCACCTGACCTAAGCTAAGCACCTCAGACCCTCTCTGCTAGGAATCGGAACTTTGATCTGGGCAGCACAAGAACAAATAATTCTAGAGGTGATTGATCTACATGGCTGTTTTCTAAGGAAACTGGTGGTTAGTTCATGCCACTTATTACCCAAAGATATTTTGCTGTATGCTTTGTGAAACTTGGTTGCTCCACTTTCCTTTTAATTTTTTAGTCAACTTTATTGAGGCATAAGTTATGTTGAATATATTACACTCATATTAAGTGTACAGTTTCATGAGTTTTGAATAATGTATACACTCATGTAACCACTGCTTCAATCAAGATCATAAACAATTCTATCCCCAGATGGTTGTCTTTAAAGTCAACCCTCATCCTACTTCATATTTGGCCCACTTAGCTGTTTTCTGTAACTATAGATTAGATTTGTCTTTTCTAGCATTTCATAAGAGTGGAATCACTTACATATTCCTTTGTGTCTGACTTCCTTCACTCCACATAATGCTTTTGAAATTCGTTAATGTTGTGCCTGTATCTGAAGTTTGTTCCTTTTTATTGCTGACTAGTATTCCTTTGTATGGATATACCACAATTTGCTTACCAGTTTACCAAATGTTGATGGACAATGGGGATGTTTTCAATATGGGGTTATTATGAATAAAGCTGCTAGGAACATTCTTGAACAAGTCCTTTGTGGACTTACATTGTTATTTTTCTTATCTTACAGGAATAAAATTATTAATACAGTAACTGTGTGTTTAACGATACAGAGACGAACTGATTTCCAAAGTGGAAAACATTTTACATTCTCACCAGCAAGATATGAGAATTGCTTCACATCCTCATCAACACTGGGTAGTTTCTGTCTTCTTTTTTTGGCATTCTAGTGAGTATATTTCATTGTGGTTTTAATTTGCATTTCCCTGCTGACTAATAATGGTGACCATAAAAGATGTTTACCAGTTTTTCATGTGCTCTCATGCCAGCTGTTCTTTGATAAAGTGTCTGAATTTATTGCCCAATTTTTAAGAAAGTCTTTGGATTCTCATTATTGAGTTGTAGGAGTTCTTTATATACCGGATGTTTGTCAGATATATAGATGTAAAACAAATATACACTCCCAGTCTGTCTCTTGCCTTTCAATTTCTTAATAGTGTTTTTCAAACAGCAGTTTTTAATTTTGATGAAGTCCAATTTATCAAGTGTTTTTTTGTGTGTGGTTGTACTTGTTATGTTTTACGTTAATCTTTGCTTACTCTGGCTTCTTACAGAAGTTTATAGTTTTAGCTGTTATATTTAGGTGTATGATCTATTTGGTGTTAATTTTTGTGTATGGTATGAGGTAAGGGCTGAGGTTTATTATTGTCCACATGGATATCCAGTTGTTTTGACACCATTTGCTGAGAAGATTATCTTTTTTCCCATTGAGTAACCTGGATACCTTTACTGAATATCAATTGGCCATAGATGAATGAGTCTATTTCAGGACTCACTCATTATTCCTTTCATTTGATCTATATTTCTATTCTTATCCCAAAATCCTACTGTTTTGATTACTATAACTTTATAATAGGACTCCAACTTAGGTGTAATAGCTCTTCCAATTGTGCTCCTTTTAATTTTTTTTTCAAAATTTGTTTAGCTCTTCTGCTTTTGTTTTTGTTTGGTTTTCATCTTCTACATAAATTTCAGAATTAGCTTGTCAACCTTTTAAAAATTCACTTTTTTAATTGAGAGGGTCTTGAATCTATTTATCAATTTAAGTAGAATTGGCATTACAATATTGATTCCTCCAACCTATGAACATGTTATCTCTCTCCGTTAATTTAGGTGTTCTTTATTATTTCCAGCAATATTTTGTAGTTTTCAGCATAGCAGTATTACACATAATTTTAAAAAAGAATCCCTAAGTATTTTCTTTATTTTTGATATTTCATAAATGGAATTATTTTTGAGTTCTTGTTTCCAATTTTTCATTGCTGTATGGAGAAATACAGTGAATTTTGTACAGTAACCACACGTGGCTAAATTTACTTATTTGTTCTAATAGTTTTCTTTTTAAGTTTCCTTAGGATGTTCTATATGCTCTGCTTCTTTTATTTGTCTTCCCTTATTACACTGGGTAGGATGCCCAGTACAATGCTGAATACAAATGGCAAAATTTAGTGTCCCAGCCTTATTGCTCATCATAAACCAAAAGCAATCAGTCTTGTACCATTAAGTAGGATGTTAGTTGTAAGTTTCATTACACTCTCTTTATTAATTGAGAAATTTCCTTCTATTTATAGTTCATTAGAAATTGTTTATTTTACCAGGAGTGAGTACTGAATTTTGTCAATTTTTTTCTGCATCAGTTGAAATTATTATATAGTTTTTCTCCTTTTTTCTGTTAGTTGATTGAACTATTTATTAAACTTGCCTTGCATTCTTGGGTTAAAGCTTACTTGGTTAGTGTAATGGATTATACATTTGATATGCTGTCGGATTTGATTTGCTAAAATTTGTTCAGGATATTTGTGTCCATACTCATTAAAATTATTGGTCTGCATTTTTTTCTTGTGATCTCTTTGTCTGGTTAGAAGTTCATCAATTTTTAAAAATCTATTCAAAGGATTGGCCTTTAGTTTCGTTGATGTTTTTCTATTACTTACACATTTTCTACTTTGTTGATTTTAGCTCTCACCTTTACTATTTCCTTCCTTCCACATACATTAGATTTATTTTTTCCTTTAATTTCTTAAAGTCAAATTTTTGCTTATTGATTTTTAGATTTTTTTCTATAGAAGCATTTAAAATCATAAACTTCTTTCTAAGAAGTACTGTAACCATGTTCCATAAATTTTGATAACCTTTTTATATAGTTCAAAATATTTTTTTCTTTAACCCATAGGTTATATAAAACATTGGTATTTAATTTCCATATTTGGGGGAATTTTTAGATATTTGTTTATATATTCTGTAAATACATAATGTCTTACATAATGTCTTATAATGTCTTATGTATTTACAGAATACATGTCAATATTTGTTACAAGCATAGAGTATGTTATGAGGGGAGCATCTCAGATTTTCATCGCCTTGAGCACTTATCATTACTATGTGTTAGGAACATTTCTAGTCCTCTCTTCTAGCTACTTTGAAATGTACAACACATGGCTACTAACAGTAGTCACCCTACTCTTCTATTGAACATTAGATCCTATAACTTCTATCTAACTGAATGTTTATGCCTATTAACCAACCTCTCTTCATGTCTTCCTCTCACTTACATGCTCTTCCCAACATTTAGTATCCACTTTCTACCTTCAAAAGATCAACTTAGCTTCCTTATATGAGTGAAAACACAATATTCATCTTTCTGTATTTGACTTATTTCACTTAATGTCCTCCAGGTCCATCCATGTTGCTGCAAATAACATGATTCCATTCTTTTTTATGGCTGAATAGTATTCCACTTTGTATATATACCACATTTTTTAATCCATTCATCAATTGATGGGTGCTTACATGGATTCCATATCTTTCCTATTATGAATAGTGCTACAATAAACATGGGGCACAAGTATCATTCTGATACATTGATTTCATTTCCTTTTATTAAATACCCAGTAATGGGATTCAGATACATTTTTATTTAATTTAATTTTATTACAGCCAGGGAGAATAGTTCATCTTATTTCAATGCTTTTAAATGTACTGAGACTTGCTTTATGGTGAAAATATGGTTTTTCTCAGCAAATGGTTCATGTGCACCTGAAAAGAATGTACAGCTTCTGCTGCTGGTGGGTAGATTGTTCTAAAAATGTCAACTGGGTCTCATTAGTCAACACTGTTGCTCAAGTCTTCTATTTCCTTTCTAATTTTTACTACCTTTATTGTGAATACTACAACATTACTAATACAATCTTAGATTAAGTGATTTTTTCATTGGTGGTAACTCTATCACTCTGTTAACATATAATTTATAATTTACTAAAATTCCAATTATTTTTCATATTTGCTATTAATCTTGACTTCTTTTTCTTTCCACATCTTCCTTCCTTTTATTGAAAAAAATTTTAGAAAATGGCAGTTAATAAAAGGCACAAACAAATCAATAGGGATATACTGGTGGAAAACACAATATAAAACTAAAATGCCATTGGCTTCTTTAATTGGTTAAGAGCACAAAATATAACAGGCAGAAGATGCTCTTCTCCTTATCTGTTTCAAACAAATTAAAAAGCTATGTGTTTTTTAAATTCTCCCCAAATCAGATATATAAACACCCACAAAAATAGTGTGTAAAGGAAAGCTGTCATACACAAGAAGTTGTATACTGAATTATTCAAGGAAACACACGTTGAAATAGGAATTAACAGAGTCAGCAACAGATTAATAATTTTTTAAAACTGAGTCTTAATATGCTACATAGCCCAAAGCTATATTATATAAAGTACTGCTAGGCACAAAGGAAAGTCTGTACAGCTTTTAGCAAAACTGCTTTCCCAAAAAGCAAATTAAAATAATGCAATAGCAGACCAAGGAGACTACAGCTAGTCATCAGAGCTAAAACTTCTCATATCTCTGTCAGAAAATCTTCTTTATCCAGAATAAACTAAAATTTCAGGACAAAACAGGGACTTGTTAACATTTCTTACTTTACCCATTTTAAGTTCTTTTTATCTCCTCCACCCCCAAGAGCAGTAATTCAGCAAGATTCAGCAGAAAGAGGGCTACTTTTAGAATTGGCTATTTTATTTTTCTTTCTATGACGAGACTGTCATGGAGTCTGGATATTTCAGGCTCATATGCATCCATGACCAGTGTCCCACTGTGGTCAAAAAACTTAGCAATGGACTTGGTGAACTCGGCTTCCCGCTGCTGCTTTGTTCTCCCACTGATGAAGGTCAGCTTCAAGGCGTATTTGTCATCAAACCTTTTGAGACTGGAGGGCAGCTGCCAAACATCATCAGGATCCATTCCTGTAGGATCTTTCCTGTGGGCCACAAGAAAGATGCTGTTCTCCTTATATGAGGTACAAATGGTCAGAATCCCCATCATCACAAAAGAGGATATGACGCACAAAGCCAAAACGGGTTTGGACTCTGGAAAGGGTTGCATACAATCCCAAATCAAAGCCACTATGGCAAAGACACAGGAGATTGTACAGATGGTGAGGCGACCGTCAATTAGACCAAAATTCTCCACATATTTGTATTTTTCCAGAAGTACCTTTTTGGCAGAGTCATCCAAAGAGTTTTTCACGGCTGACCATCCCACTTGTCAATTTTTACAGGCTTATCGTCTATCTGCCACTTATCCAACAAGCCGCTACGGCCAGTGCCCGCCCCGCAGCTGGAACCACCGCCAGCCCCAGCGGCCTCCGCCACCGCCGCTTCTCCCGCCTGCGCAGCTGCCGCCGCCATCTTGTCCGCCTCTGCGTCTCCCCTAATCTTGACTTCTTAAAATATTATTTGTATTTTTAGTTGAGAATTTCATAGTAATTTTATAAGACTGTTCACTTAGAGCTATCAAATTCCATTTTTGCACATGCAGTCCCTCTTTAGAGCCTATCAAGGTCTTGGTGGAGCTCATTCTTTTCCTAATATGTTAGCTAGCCAGCTTGAAATCATATTTGGAGTTGATACAGAAAGCCATGATGCTCTTGAGCAAATAATTATTAGACATGTAGACATGGATAAAGTCAAATGCAGATTGTAACAGAGACTTTCTTCTCCATTTATATTTTTTCACATCCTGTAGTACAGTCATTCAATCGCTGATAAATTCTACAACTCTATTATTATTACACCCAGCCTACTTTCTTCATCTGATCCACAAGGATTTTACGGGATATTTTTCAATTACCTTTTAAATCCAGATGTATTCTCATTTGTTCCATTTACCTGTCTGCTAATATTTTGAATAAAGAAAACTAAGCCTACCAGTTCTACCTCTTAGCAAACAAGGTTGGCTTCTTATACCCATGATTTCCTTTCTGTAGTGCTCTCAAATTATGCTTCTAAATTAATGATTTAAAAGCTTGCTTAGTTACAGCAATAGACTAGAGTTCACAGAATTTACTACTTCTTCCCACTTAAAAAAATAGAAGTGGGGGTTACTGCAGGGTGTAAACTCATAAGTATGGCAGAAGGTTATCATTTTTTTTTTACTTCATTCACTTCTAACAAGAGGCATGTATAATTATTTCTGCTTTACAGGTAAGAAAATGAAGGCTCAGAGAGATCAATTATCTTGCCCATGATCCCATATCTAGTGAGTGGCAGAGGCAGGACTGACCCTGGGTCTAGCTTCAAAGCTTATGTTCTCTCTACCACTTCACCTGCCTCAGAACTACGTCTGTTTATTCTGGTCTTCTGATTGCTCACTGTGGTTCTTCAAATCTCACCATTGTGCTATGTTTAAACACCTTTTCCCCATAATCACTGAAAATCTGCACTGAAAAAAAAAATGCTCAGGAGCCTCGGACACTCTTGTGTGTACGCAGCTTTATCTCTCCCAACAACACAAATGCCAAAAAGATAGGTCTCAGCCGAGGGACACAGAGGATTAGAAAGGTGGGGTTCTTGGCCCATGAGTGTCCTCCTATATACCTTCATTTCAGTATTCTTCCAGTCCTAGATATTTTTTAAGCTCCCTTCTCCAGTAGGACTTTTGTCCACATTTTTGAAAAGATCACTATCTTTTAAAGGTAGTGGAGGAAGGAAGGGAAGAGCAGAGCAACGGATAGGGAAATTGTATTTGCAGCCCTTGACCCTGTATCAGGAGTTAGGAGTACTTTTATGTCTTCTTGATGCAACATGTCTTCACAGATGTCAGGCAATCCTGGTATTCTTATTGAAAGGGCCAATCCTTTGAACAGGATTCCAAATTCATCATCTTATTTCCCCTAGCTTAGTGTTTCCCCCAACCAAAGAAGTTTTAATATGATCCACAGTAAGAAGTACATTTCTCATCATGACCAAATTCCTATCTTTATAAGTATATATTTAGAACAAGTTTCATGAAACAACACTTACTCTTACCATACAGAATGTCCTCTCATGTTTTCTTAACGATGCTTCTCAAACTTTAACGTGCATGTTCTGTTCATCAGCTAGAGATTTTGTTAAATATGAGGTTCTGATTCAGTTTCCAGGGTGCAGCCTGCATTTTAACATATTCCTTCGTGGATGCTTCTGTTTCTTAGATTGCACTTTGATAGCAAAGTATTCTGTATTGTTCTATTTAAATGTTAAATTACTTTCAGGACTTCCAAATGTGTCTGGACTGGCAGTTTGTAAGAGCATTGCTGGTGTATTGGGGCAGCACGCCTATCTAGGATATTCTTGTAAACGTAGACTTACTGTGGAGTGAGTTCATGCTTGGAAGTAGTTCAGCAAGAAACAGGCTTTATCTTCCATATACCAAGACCATAGAAGTAAAGACATGAATATCTTCCTTAAATTGCTTTTTATAATTTCAACATTTGATACAGTGAATACATCTATTACAATTTGAAATAAATATATCCAAGTATTCTGCATAATGAGGACTTATGAATGTGTGTGAAAAGAAAGTTGCAGAAGTTAACTGAAGGTGAATATGGCAATGATGAAAGAATCAAGGGGGAAAAAAACATTTCCTGTAGTGTGATCTTCTTTTGTCTGTAATATGAATGCATACTGTCTCAGTAAGAGTTCTTGTTTTCAAGTAACAGAAACTAACTCCAGCTAGCTTAATAAAAACAACATTGAGGGATTCCAGAAGAGTCGGCAGCTGGGAGGACCAAAGTTAAAAATGAGCAAGAACCCCTTTAGAAGACTGGGGAAAAAAGAATCAAAGCCACAGTCTCAGAGCTGAACCAATCTGGACAGGCTGTCCCTGCTGAGATGAATGAACTTGAACCATTTCTTTCCTTAGTCTTCGCATCATGCTCTTAAGATCAAAGTCACAGGAGAGAGCATTCATTTGGCTGAATTTATGTTTTGCACTCCCTCCTGGCTGTTATGAGAAAACAGGAAGGATTTGGCCCTTCAAACTTACATAGTGGGACAGATGGCCTGATACACAATCCTTCTAGGAGCATAGAAAAGTGGGGAGATGAGATCTCCCAAAAGGAAAACAGGATACTACTGGGAAAAGGAAATACTAGGTTAGTGCAAAAGTAATTGAGAGTTTTGCCATTAAAAGTAATTAAAAGTAATGGGAAAGCATGCGATTACTTTTGCACCAATGCAATAGATTCTAAGTCATCAATAAACTGTACTGGACAAGCGCTGTGAATTGGTCAGGCCCTTATTACAAGTATAGCAGGAAAGTAAATGGGATTTCAATTTTGGGTGAACCAGAGGTGTAGTCTCATAGAGTAAATCGTAATTGGTGTACATTCTAAGTACATCCAAATCCACTCCTTGCACAACTTAATAAAAGGCATCAGAAAACCAATTCTGACATCACCACCACCACCACTCCAACCCCTATCCTTTTTCCCTTATAGAAGAAAACTAAGGAACTCAAGAGGAGTCATCAGAATTCCTGCCATGTGGGAGACATCAACCCCACTGGTGACTTTTTTTTCTGCTCCACATATTAGAGGTAAGAGGAATATTTCTTCCCTCTCTATGGCAAGTTAAGTGAAAATGGAGGGGGAAGCAAGAGAAACAATCACAGCGATGAAGAATGCTAGCAAGAGGTAGAAGCCAGCATCTCCAACCCTAGTTAGACCTCTGTGAGGTAGAACAGGCAGATTTACTCTCCCCACACATTTCAACAGAAGAAAGTAATTGGAAAAGACAGCAGGCACGTTCTGTTCCCACCGTTTGGTGATGCGAGGATGCCTGAGTTTCCTTAGGGCCAAAATGACACCACAGGAGATATCTGGGCTTAAGCAATCTTGACGTTACCCTGCCTAGGAGGGCTGCCTGCTACTGGAGGAGCCAAGTCAAGGAGCAGGAGCTGAAGGTGGACGGTGCAGAAGAATCTGGGTTGTGGGCAACACCCACATCAGATGCCCATGCAACTGGGGCCCCTGCCAAGCCTAATGAAGAGCCTGCCCATGCCCTGCCCTTCAGCAGTGTCCAGACATCGGCCACAGGCACATTTGGCCATCCAGTGTGCACCACAGCAGCAGCAGCTAAGCAAATGCCTGTCCTTTCCCTCATCCGTGCTCCAAGACCCCAACACTCTGGGAGATACGGAAAAGATGAAGGAAGAGCAGGAAGTAGAGAGGAGCAGGAGAGAAGCAACATACTCAAGATTCCCCCAGGGTAGGAGCACATGCACCTGGTCACATCTAGACTGACAGGAAGAGTGAAAACATGAAAATGATATGAGACTCAAGCTATAAACTTGACTTTTTTAAACCTGAAAGTGTCTGAAATGCCACAGATGCTTCCTGAGACGTCGTGAAGGGACAGAAGTCTCTCATCAAAGCATGCTTGAAAACAATGAGGAGAAATCAGATAAGAGGGTTTCATGTTAGTATCCCACTAACTCCAATAAACTGGTTGCACAGCAAAAGAAAAGAAAAGAAAAAAAAAACCTGACTTCCAGTACTATAAGCAGAAAAGGAATTTATCGAGATGCTACTGGGTGCTCAGTGTAACACCCAGAGGGGCTGGAAGACTAGGTTAGGAAGATGGTGCAGGGACACAATAAAGTTCTGCTTTCAGAGTTAACATCATTCCTTGGAACTGGTCTGGGAAAGCTCTGCCAGTGGATGCCAGATGCCAGAATTCTCACCATCAACACCTCCAGCCCCGGACACTGACTCTGAGGCAACCACTGCCTCTGGGAATAGCAGGTTGCTGACTTCCCTGAGCTGCCGAAAGAATTCTCCATTGTCCGAGGTTCCAATTCAAAGCCCAGGGCTGATGCACCTGATTGGCCGAGCTCCAGACGCATGCGCAAGGCCACTTAGGAAAGGAGTCCAAAGAAGCCGGTATATGCACTTTGTTATTTCTCTCCTGCGAGAAACGCTCTTCCTCTCAGGAAGTCTCTGAAGCAGGGTTGCTATTAGCCCATACGGTGCTTTGTGCGAAATGAGGAATATGCAAGCCTCTACTTGGGAAAATAAGCAGGAATCTTTCCTGTCTCCGGTGGCTACAGAACACTGTCGAGGATCAGGGATCACAGCATGCCTGCATTTCGGCCTCACGTGCCCTCTCTGCTGGGAGTCTTTGTGCAGTGCACAAACTGCACGAGTGTATGTAGTAGCCCTGCTCATAAGGTGAGCGTTTCTCAAATATAAACGGGGATGCAACTGAGGTAACAGATACATACTACAGGAAGTCATCAGACTTATGGAGAAACACAGGTAACAAATGTTGAGCACACAGCTTGATGGCGACCAGTGGAGAGATGCGGTTATGAAACCAAGACAAGTGAACAAAAGCCAGGCAACTACTGGGCTTTGCTGAGCACACACTTCCTGTATTAATAAAACTGAACCACCATCATGAGGAGCATCTCTTTGCATCTCGTATGGAATTTGTCCTCCAAAGAATGGAGGCACCAAGTAATACTGACAGAGAGTAGGCACATCTGAATCATCACGCAGAATTACTTAGAACCAGCAAATGTTTAATCAGCATAAATGTTACTATTTACACTACCACCCCTCCTGAAAGAGAGGATCATTTTCTTATATTTAACAAAGATTTATGAAAAATCTTGTATGTTTTCATGTTAAAATTAATATTCATTTGTTCACAATTGCAACAGTAACTAAGCCAAGTGTTTTTGAGAGAAAACTGTATATTATTTTAATACAATATAATAATATATAAACTCTTTTGCCCACATATTCATGATCAAATTAAAAGTAAACACTAGTAAGTTCTTGCTGTTTTCATCCTGAAAGTAATAGAAATAGAAAAGACAAAGAGATTGATCAGATCATTTGATATCAACTAGTCAGGAGAGAAAAAGCAGATTTGATTCAATTAAATGATTTGTCTATAACACCATCCTGCATCAGATCAATTGTATTGTGCATGTATTACACAGTCAAGCTTCTAGGTTGACTGATTTTATAGATACTATGTCTGGAGTCTCTTTCTATAGTGGAGTGCTAGGTTGAAAGTCTATTTTGGGAGGGTTCAAATTAGCATGGAAGGAGGAGTATTTGACACAGAGTATTGTCTTTCAAGTTTTATTCTAAACAACAGCAGCAAAAAAAAAAAAAAAAAGGCAGTAATTAAACAGGGATATAAGATCACAGGAGAGTTTTCTGAGGTGGAAGGAATGCTGTTTCCCCATGCTGTTGGGAGTGACCCATGGAGATACAGTGTGGCTGAGGGGTGACTCACTATCACTCCAACATTATTTCTGAGCATTCTTGGCTATTTTAATATTCTCTGCGGATGGCCTTTTCAACAGTCCTGGGCTCTAGCTTCCAGAATCTCCTTTCTTCCAGTGATCCTGTTTTCCATCCTACCTCAGCCACTCACTACTATTGCCACAACCTAGACTTGCAGCCTCTTAATCTCAGCCATAAAAAAGGATGAGTTTATGTCCTTTGCAGGGACATGGGTGAAGCTGGAAACCATCATTCTCAGCAAACCAACACAGGAACAGAAAACAGAACACCGCATGTTCTCACTCATAAGTGGGAGCTGAACAAGAAGAACACATGGACACAGGGAGGAGAGCATCACACACTGTGGGGCAATGATGGAGAAATATCTAATGTCGATTTGATGGGTTGATGGATACAGCAAACCACCATGGCACATGTATATCTATGTAACAAACCTGCATGTTCTGCACATGTACCCAATAACTTAAAGTATAAAAATAGTAATAATAATTGTAGCCTCCCTATAATCTCAATTTCAAGCACCTCACTCTTCCATTATTATTTTTCTAACTTTCTTGTTCGCTCAGTCTGCATCACCAACTCAAATAATTCTAATACATCAGTATCCAAGTCCACCGATCCTAGCCTTTTCATGTTCCTCAACATTTTAAGTTTTTGCCTCCCTCCTTACTCGGCTTAAATACCATGTCAGTCATCATGGTAATTTAATTCCATACACTCAACTGATTTGCCCCTCTCTTGCATTTTACTCACCCAGAAAAATCCCAGTGCTGGTTCAGTCCAACTCTCCACGAACTCCATGGTGGCACTGGTGCAGTTTAATGTGTTGGAGAAAAATAGAAATACAAACATTAATGAGCATCAGTCTAAATTCATGACTACTAGCACTAAGCAGAACCTTGGCACTACCCAGCAATCCAATCATATCTCCTTAGTTCACTTGCTCTTCCATTCTTCTATATGGTGATCTTCTCTCTTTTCAAACATCCAATATCTCTTCTTTCATATTCACTGTCAGTTGAAGACCCTGCTCCTCATTTCCCTATTTCACTGAGAAAACTGAAGCAATTAGAGGAGATTCTCCACAAACTTCTACGACTACAGGTGGTCACCCACCTTCATGTCTGGTTGTGTGCCTTGCCTTCCCTCCTGATGAACTGACCGTTCTCTTATTTAAGGCCATCCTCTGCACTTATGCACTAAGTTTATTCCCTTGGGCCTCCCAAGTGACGTGGATTTCTCCCTCTCTTTCCTGCATTATTATTCTCTCCTCTCAGCAGGAGTACTCCCATCAGTATTCCAAAATATTATTACTTCTTCCATTTAAAAAAAGCATGCTGTTTGGACCCATTTTCCTCCTTCAGCTATTCTCTTCACTGTAAACTCCTTGAATTAAATTTTTAAACTTACTATATGCATATTTTTTTCCTTCTATTCTCTCTTATATCTCCTCTAATCAGGGTTTTGGCTTCCAACCCTCAATTTAATACTGCTCTCTTTTTTTCAAGGTAATCAAATGAGATCCAAGTTGCTGAAACCAATTGTCAGAAACATTTTCTCTCCCCTTCATTGAATATCTTTCTTGACTTGACATCCAGGATACATGACTTTTATAGTTTTCCCTTTTTCTCTATGGTGGCTTCTTCTGCGACCTTTGTTGGTTTCTTCACATCTTTCCAACCACTAAATTTTGAGGTGCCCAGGTCTCAATCATTGGATCACTTTTCTTTTCTAGCTGCAATAACTCCATAGACTATCTCATCCACTCAGAACCATAAATACCATTCCTTTAGTGACCACTCCTAAATATAGACCTTCAGCCTTGACCTCTGCCCAACTGCCTCCTGGACATCACCTCTCAGTTCACAGATGGGCATCTCAAAACTAATATGTTCAAAACCCAACTCCTAATTTTCCCACAAAAGTCTGCCCTTCCCAAATTCATCCCATTCATCTCCATCTCAGCAAGTGGCATCTTTATCCTTTCATCTGCTCAGATCAAAAACTTGGTGTCACCCTTAGTTGCTGTTTCTCTCACACTCACCATTAAAACTATAAGCAAACTCTATAGGCTCTAACTTCAAAATATATTCATCAACCTACTCCAGACCTCCATCATTACCCTGAATTAATACAGTGGTCTCTTTATTGTTCTCCCTGTTTCTGACTTTAACCCCCTACCAATCACTCCCAGCACCACAAAGTGATCTTGTTAAAACAGAAGTTAGATCAGGTTTCTCTCTTGCTCTAGCCCCCATGTCCTCCCATCTTAGAG